CGATTGTCCCTGAATTTTTTTTGTTTTAAGCGTGGAATCTAGCACACTCCTCGATATATAATATATTATATTGTAATATAATATAATTTATTATATTTGATATTCAAGATTTTAATCTGAATATCTAACCACCCGACGGATTTTCACGTATTCAATGTGTGTACGTGTCGTATGTATATGTGCGGCCCTGAGTCGAACAATTACATATGTGTGTACTTATCGTATCAATCGTCTTCGTCGCCGGCGTCTTCGTTCGCCGCGATTAATTGGCCCAATGGTTTGCTTGGGTCTGGGGGCGCGTCCAGCATGTTGCCCCGATCCCCCGGAGGGGGTCAACGAGAAGCGGGCACCCATCGCGCCTTTTTGTCTCTCTCTTTCTTACTCCCTCTGCAGAGTGATTGTCGTGAATTAATCGACGAAGCGCCAGCAGACGCCGAGATAACGACGGAAATTTCTTTCTCGTCGAGTCCTTAATTGAGTTGTATCGATGTAAACAAATGCTGCCGACTTGGCGAGCGCACTAACTCGAAAGGAGAAATATGCGAAGTTAAGGGCAGGTCGTGGTTTCTCCCTTTTTAAAAAAAAAAACTCATACATCGAAAAAGATTTCTTGTTATTCTATGTAGATATTGCAATAAAATTGGAAAGGATTCGAAGAAAATGATATTTGCTTCAATGAAAGAGGAATAAATAGTTATGTTTGGATGAAAGAGGAGTAAGAGAGTATTGCTAGGACTGTACTATTTTATATTAGACAAGAAGAATAGCGATAATTTTAAAACAATAAATTTAAAACAGCAAAAATACTATAGTAGTCTAACAAAAATTAAGAAATATTAATATAAATACATATATTATTGGATAAAGATTGATACAAATATTAAAAACTGTGTGCACGTACGTGAAAGCATCTCGCGAGATATCTAGATTATTTCATAAAAATATCGTTCAAAACTAGACGTCTATAAGAAGAGAAAAAGAGTTTATAAGAACTCGCGTTTTCTCTTCTCTATAAGAAGAGAAAACACGAGTTCGGCGAGCATTTGTAGTTCATGCATATGTGTTTGCAGTTTTATTTTGCGTTATGTTTTGTTGCATTTTGTTTTGTCCGGAATGATTCTATCTGCTATGATGGGCGTTTCTCGATATATTTGCGATATATCGGCTTGTTAGCAATCATGCGTGATAATTACGTGGTTAGACATGTTAGATAAACCCGTGGAATTCTGCCGGATAAGCTATACAATCGTGCTGGCACAAGCAATGTCAGACGACACTCGAGATCGTTTCGACGGCAGGTATGGCGTGATTCCCTCAGTTGGAATGACCATATACTTTTCGCAATTGAAACAATCTCGAGAGAGAAAATTAGATAAATATACGAATAACTGCCTCTGTTTGATCGACTGTTTTATCTTTGTCATAATTGTACAAGTTAAATCTTAATATTTTTCAACTTTGTGACACTGTCCTCCAGTTTTTCGTTTTTAAATATATATTATCTGCCTAGCGAATTTTTTGTTTTTCTACGTAGAATTTTCAATGTTTTAAGCATATAATGACAACATATTGTATAATATTGTTAAATAAAGCTTTAGTATCATGGATAATGCGTTAATAGAATACACGTTTTATATTATTATTGCTATTTATAACGCAAAATTTTATATCATAACATTTATTTTTTGAAAGCGTTTTAAAAAATTTTGAATAATGTCGATCACGGATGAACCAATGTATTAAATAGATATTTTGACGATATAACAAAGCAAGTATTTGCAAAAAGCAAATATTTAATTAAAATTAAATCACAATATATCATAATTACATAAAACATTTTGAGTACATAGACAGTTATATGTTAAATATAAAAAAGTTCGAGCAAAGTCCGAATTAATAAATACTGTGATTTTACGTATATCGTATGAATTTGAGCCGTTACGAGCATAAAAAATGAAATTTTTATGTTAGTTCTATATTTATGATATTTTACTGAATCTCACATCTGTTGGCAATGGTCACTAAAATAAATTATTCTGTCAACATAAAATAATATTTTATATACACGCGAGTTTCAAACTGAATACTTCATCCATCGTGGATCCATCGTAAATTTAATGATCTAATAATTTTTCACGCAAATATATGAAAAAATAATCAAAGAATTTTTTTTGAACGGAAAGTTTGTTCCATTTTTTTTTTGTTAAAAGATGGTATTAATATAAATACAAAAAAAAACGGAACTAACTTTCCGTTTGATTCAATATATGTATATATTATATTCTTTCCATGTAATCTTTTTATGTATTCAAGATTTCTTGAATTAGATCGAAGAAAGTAAGAGTGATAGATCTTTTTTTTTTTATAGTTCTGTGGATTTACGGTGCTACAATGGATCTATTCTAACACAATTTAAATTATGTACTTATGTACTTATATAGATATACGTATTTACACTTATGAGATTTATAAAGTAATGAATTAAAAAATTATTTATTTATTAAATCTGTAGATTCTATTAACTATTAATTAACATATTATTTAAATAATGTTCAACAAATAAAATCATTTATAACAGTAATTATATCACTTTCTATTGTTATAAGCGCTTGCTATATTTATTTATTTATTTATTTTTAATTAACATGTTGAAATATAATTTTTTTAAACATAGAATTATCTAATATTTATAGGTATATTTTAACTTATCTTGTGTAAAAAATAAACAGAACAACGCAGTACTCTGTATTATGCAAAATGCGCAAGTTATCGACATTTCACACACTTTGCGCTTTATCGCGACTGTTTATATATTGTACTTATCATCAAATATTAACGTATAGAGACAGAAAATTCTTTATGGTTTATTATTATTTGTTTTAATATTACATATTGATGTTTGAATCCACGTACTTTTATCACGATGTGAATATTTTGTTTTCAAGCAGCCACGCAGTTTTATGGATATTGAGTCACGTTTAGCCACATAGTGAGACACTGCGTAGATCGCAGATCACCTTGCATGTTTATCTCTATAGCGTCATCATGATATAAGTTCTTTTAATTCTCGAAATTTTGACGGAGAGCAGGAGAAGAGGGTGTCTCTTCTCCCTTGTGTTCTTCAGTATTCTTCCGTTCATCACGGAATGTCTGGCTTAAGCGCGATTACGCTGCGTTTTTGCTGAACGAGCACGTTTACGTCTCACGGAAACAATTTTGATAAGGGATAAACGTGACACCATGCGAAAACCGCACGTAGACGTAATACGTAGTGGCAAATCACGAAAATCAGCACGTAATTACTTATCGCAAAAATTACTATTTGTACTTGTACGGTTTTATTCCTTTATTATGCGAACTTCAATGTTTAAGACAGAAAGAAAGGAATCCGAAAAGAATGTCAAAAGTGAATGCGTAATAAGAACGGTTTTTTTCCTCAAAAATCTTCCATTTTACGGAATTTTTTTGTAAAAACTAATGCTCGAAGAAATAAAAAGATATGTTCAGATGTTAAATAAAACATCAATTAAAATATTATGGTATTGTAATATTAGATTTATATTCTATATGACTCTTACGTAAATTTTTCATTAAAAAGAGAAATATAATAGCTCATTAAACTACACTTTACTATATATATATATATATATATATGTATATGTATTTATAATATTAACATTTGCAATTTTATACAGTATGTATACAATAATAAGTAACTAATATATTATATATTAGATATTGTAAAAATGATAAATATTAACACGTATATAAATTTATATATGTGCACATGTATATTTATATATATATAAAGTTTTTCCGTTTAAAATTAAGTTTTATTTATATTCTTTTGATATCTAATGTAATATCTTATATTAAATAAATTTTAGTTAATTTAATATAACAAATTTTATTGATATAATAATTATATAGGTATCTGTTCAAAAATGCTTACTTCTCTCAATAAACGTTAAGTTATTTTCAAAAATATACAGTAAGAAATTTTTTATTGTTATATATCAGATACAAGAACGTCGCAAAATTTGAGTGTGACGTGAATAACAGTTAAAGAGCCTTAACGTTTTCGTTTGAATGCCGAACAAAGTGCGTTTATCACGTTTGTCAATTAAGCTTTTAATCACGTTAATAGCAGCGTCTGCCTTTTTTGCGCATATGTTTTTATCTTTATGTAACATGTACACAAAAGCTCGCGGAAGAGTTTTCTAAAATAATGCAATTTTTCCACGATCGTCTGTATTACTCTTGAGTGTTACAAATTATCATTCCACAATTATTGCCTTTCGAGGTCACAGCATATCATTCACACATGCGACTTGATTTTAGCAAATACATTTTAACAGTTTTTATGTTAAAAATTACTACATCTCATTAATTCTTAACCACATTCGAACTCGCGTGCGTCATTGTAATCATTTTCGTAACATTTTATGATGTGTGTCATACTCTCTTAATTTAAAGTAAAAGACTTTAGCTTGTTTGATTTAGTATTTCAACAATTATTAACCTTTGAAATTCTATTATTTTGCAATTAGATAATTTGTTTATAATATTTTAAAAAAGAAATTAACCCTTATTTTTTATACATGTGTGTGAAAAAAATTTTTTTAAATTAAACAAAATAAAATTATAAAATAAAAATTTCTATAATTAAAGATATAGAAGAGTTTTATTTGTTTTTAATTTCTTTTTTCAATCATAATCTCTTTTTAAATGTGTATTACTCAGAATACTCATGACTATAACTGCTAAAATACAACAGCATTAGTAGTCCAGATTTCGACATCCCAACATGTTTCAATTGATTTTTCTATTAATTACAAAGTTATCGAATCTAAAGGTCTAAAATTGTAAAAAATAAGGATCTACTTTATATTTTTAACAAGAAAAAATTTACTTTAAATTTCCTAAAAAATTACGAATTTCCTGGGCGCGAGAACTCATTTTATATTGATATTTATCTATGTCTATTCTTTAATTTACAGATGCCTGTTTACGGTGCCAGGCGGAAAGTAAGAAAGAGGTTTACGGCCGACAGGACTGTGTGGTTGTTTGGGGCGAGTGCAATCACTCGTTCCATTACTGCTGCATGTCACTTTGGGTCAAACAGAACAACCGTTGCCCATTGTGCCAGCAGGAGTGGTCCATCCAACGAATGGGGAAGTAATCCTTGTGTACGCCAGCCACTAATTTCATCGCAGCCTTTAATTTTTTCTCGCGATTAATCGGAATGAATTAGCGTTATGTAAATTGAAACTATTACTCGTTATAATGCCTCCTAACGAGTTTTGAATTTATTTTCTTTTTCGGAGATTTTTCAAAGGAGTCAAAGTGAAGAAGCCGATTTTTCAGGCAAGGATTATTTTATTATAACATATAATTAATAAATATTATACTTGTATATAAAATACGTGAATTTTGAGATGACTTGCAGATTATAAAGTTGTTTTTTTTCCTTTTTCTATAAAAAAATATTTTCTTTTTATCACTATGTTGTATATATTTAAATATGACTGTCAAATAATAATTGTTTTTTGCTACACAGAATTTATTATTTTATTTGCGTATTAATGAGTTGACAAATCTATTTTAAATCTATCTTAAATCTTTTTCGTTTAATGAAAAATTAAACTAAAAAGATTTAAACTGTTAAATTTTAAATTTGGTGGTTGTCTAACGTAGCTTTAAATTTTAAACAGACTAAAAATCTTAAATGTTTATTTTAATGATGAGTAATATTTAAATTAATGAAAGTAGTGGTTCACAGAATGTTTTTACTGCCTTTTTCCATATTTTTATCTCGAACATTATAAGATCTATTTTTCCCATTGTGTTATTTTAATCGTGATCTAACAAAATATTTTAAATAAATTTTAAAAGTATATATAAAATTACCGGAAAATAAGAAAATTAACATATATATAGAGTTATAATAGAACTAATTAATAGAATGATTTTATTTTATTTTGATTTGATGAATTTATACCTATAATTAATTTTCAATAATTTTAATTATTAAATTCTATAAAAAGAACACTTGTCATAGTGAAAAATTGTTTGCATATCGTCTGAGATGCTTATCGCTCGCCAAATACTCGGAAGTAAGAAATGACGAAATATATTAATGATCGTCTCAAAGATAATATTTCGTATCGAAGTACAAAGTATCGCCGTCGCGTGAACTCGATTTCAATGTTCGAGACGTACAAACATTGTTGTCAAACATTACATAAGAGATATTATTTTATCTTGTGTGTAGGCGCTGCGAGAAAGGCAAATAGTGAACTCATCATCTATCAAGGTCGATGCTGATAAGTAACGTAAAATTATTACAAATATACGATTAGAAAATTTTTTTTTAGAGAGAATTAAGATTTCACCAAAAAGTTTGTCAATTTGTTAATATATATTAGTGTTAATCAATTCCTTATCTCTCTCTAAAACAGGGGCGAAATAAATTTCGCTAGTAAAAATCCATCATTTTGATAATTGGTATTAAATATAAGTATAAAAAACACATAAGAGAAAAGAAGGAAAACGTTTTTTTTTTGCATTTATCCGTACACGTAGCGGCTTCGATATTTGGTATTTAGGTTGATAACATATGCGCTGCAATACGATTTAAGCAATTGCGATGACGTTGCTTAAATTTTGTCCAATCATGATATTCTATTTTTGTTTGCTATAAAGACATCATATCTTCTGATATGTTAAATGCAAAATTCTATTCATTTTGGAAGATCGCGAATAGCAAACAAATTTTGCAGTGATATATTCTTAATATCAAAAACTCTTTTGTCGTAAAAGTAGGAGTTATTGCCTTTTTTTAATTTTTTCTCCGAAGAAAATCTTTTTATATTGAGGAAAAGGCAAGTGATAATTAGAATACCAAAAACCTCGAAAAAATAAAAAGAAATATTTGCTGAATTGCATTCACTATAGTAAGCAGAAAACTAAAAAAATATGAGGCAAGTATTTCGATAGTAACTGGTACAATATACATGTGTATATTCCATGCAAGCTTTTTTTAGCGATGGCAATATATTTTAAAAGGTTAATCAAGAAATGAATTTTAAACTCAAAAGATATATGAGCCATTCTTGAATTATTCCATGACAGTTTATAGCATTGCCGCGAAATCGCTGTGAGTCGTAAAAATGCATGCGTATCGTTAATTAAATTAGTAATGGCAAACGCTACGTGCGATCGTAAATTTGTGGGATTATTGGTATTGGCCGCGGGATAGAATATTAAACATTTATTAACGTGCGTATCGTAACTAGACGTCTTTAACGACACAATAGATCGGCGATTTTGTTCGATAATAAAAATTTATGGTTCGGGCGACGAAGTGACTGTGCGTTGATGTCTCTTGATAGAAAGCGACGGGGTCAACGAGCTAGAAGTAACATTCCGACCTTTCTTTCCATTCCAATTCCGAATGTAGAATCGATTCTTTTGCTCGCAGTTGCTAGTACAGATTCTTAGACGCGTAGATTTATAGCTATGCGCGAATCGATAGAATCATAGAAGCTCTATCGATATAATTAATCATATTTATACCATTATATAATTATGAATATTTTCGTAATTTATTATGAAATTTCGAAATAAATGATATACATCTGTTAGTTTGAGGGTGCTAGTTTAAATACCAGAATTAAAATGTTAGTCTAAGTATTAGAATTATATTTTGAAAAAGAGAAAAAGAGGAAAGAATTCGCTCGTATAACAGTCAGTAGTTTGAATAATAATACATCATAATTAATGTTATCTTTTATAACTTTTTTTACAATATGTAAAATGTAAATTGAACGCCTTGATGTTCTACGACTTGTCCTCCTTTCTAAAACGTCCTCGAACGTGTTCGCGAGTTTTTCAAATTTATTCTAGTTTTCTTTCTACCCAGATAAAAAGTGCAAATTTATTTTGCACCGTTTATATCAGTGGTTATTTTCGTACCGTTCACGTTTGTGTACGTTTTAATTTTTTTTTTCTTTGAAAACAAATAAGAAGAGAGCAACGTCCTAATTCCTTTTAGTGGATATATGGAAGAATATGATTCTCTAACGAAATTTCAAAATCAACCACGATTTTCATGTGCAATATGATCTGGGATTACAAGATCTCGCGATATATCTTGGATTCTGCGAAAGCTGATGTAGTCGTACGAAGAAACGTACTCCCTGAAACTGGCAATATAACACGATGAACGACGATAATGACGTCACATTAACCGCCCATCCCCGTCGGAGGCGTGTGTTCGTTCTACCACGCAGCCGAAATTCCGCAAGAAGTGCCGGGAGTCAAGCACGCGAGACTTTGCCTTCCCAGAAGTTCCCAAGTCTCTAACCGTTCATTATAGGCTTCGAAGAAACGATAATGACAAGTATAACGACGACGAGGTCGTCTGTACTGGCGCCGTTTCGCCTTTCTATGACGTGATTGGTCGTGCCTCCGGACGAGCCCCCACGTGACGACACGTGACGCGAGCGCGAAACGGAGGAATGAATAGCGAATACAGAGCGAATAATATAATGATGACCTTCGGACGATACTTCGTAAATAGCGTTACGTGTGGTGCAACTCGCACGAGCGTAGCTGATTAGCATTGCGCGATATATCGATAATTTTTGTGCTGATGGGTCAAAATTATTATGCTTACTCATTCGGAAGTACGTACATGCAGGTACACTCGAAACAAGCAGATATTTATAAACAAAATTTTTAAAGACTTCGGACAGGCTGGCGCATTTGACTTTAGTTTTAGTTTTACTAAGTATATTTTATAAATAAATAATTAAATGTAAATTACTTAATTCTTTTCAAGAAATACGTATGTAAGGAAACATTATTAATTAAACAGAACTGATTTGAACTCTCAGTAAATATTCAGAAAATATAAGTATTTAATAATAAATATTTAAGTTGTAGTCAAGAAATTTAACTCAGTTTTGAATTATATGTCTATGTATATATATAAAATTATAATATGTATATATATAAAATTTTGATATAGTATAAATTTATACTATATCAAAATTGTATCAAAGTTATTTTAGTAACTGTCGTTTTGTTAATTTTGTATTCAACAGTTATACAAATAGAATGCTCATTAATATGTATTAACCCTTTATATTCTTGGGATATATACGTATATTACCTGCTTTGAAAATTCATAATTTTGCTCAAGAATAAATACTTGATATTCAAAATGATATACATTGTAATTTAAAGCTCAAGTCTCGAACAAAAAAATTTTACTTCTTAAAAACTTACTTTATTCTGAGAATTGTAATAAATTATAATACAAAAAGAATCAAAAATTGTGTAGAAAATCTACTAAAAGTTTTTTTTAGAAATTCTTCCTTTATTAAATAAAATATAAATTATCTTATTAATCATTAAGAATATATTATTATAAGAATCGACTAAATTTTAAATTATAACTAGATAAGTTTTTAGACATACCGTGCGGTCTGAAGTGGATCTTGATTAATAATAGTAATAATAATAATAATAATAATATTTGTATGCTTAATAATAGTTATTGCGATAAATATTGCCTTGATACTCGAACGGTGAAACGCCCGCCCGGAGAGTAGGGAGGTTTAAGTTCACTCTGGCGGAGGTAATATTTCTCGCAATAAGTTATTTTACAGGATTTAATAAGATGCTCACTGGCATAAGAAATTATTAAATTGCTTGTCAATTTAATTTGTGGTATTACGTAATCCGGATTCGATTTGGAACTGTGTTTCAAGATCGACAAATATTCGACACGCAGTTTACCTGAACTGAAAATTGTAAAAATTCACACAATTATTATTAGGCATTAATATCCGCTTCAGATCGCATATGACATTTCTAAAAACTTATCTAGTTTGAACTTTTTGTGGTCTTGATTAGGTTTCATATTAATGTTTATTAAATTATAATTAATTGTTATAATTCTGATTAATTATTAGAATGATTAATAAGATCAAACTCGATAATATCTTACTTAGGAATCTAATGATTAATTGTAATTTTTAATATTCAGTCAATTAAAATATTATCGATTACTATTACTCTTAAGAAGAATGATTGTTAAAAATTATTCCTGACAATAATTCTTTTAGCATACATAAATTATAAATAACTTATATTATAAATAACTTTTGAATATATAGCTTGAAATCGAGGACATAAGATTAAATTCAATAAAATACATTTTAGGAACGTATTCAAAAGATAATTTATATAATGAATTTTAATTTATAGTTATCGAGAGGTTATCTCTGCGCCTAACTATTATAGTCTAGAATTTGTGTTTCAGATTTATTTTGAGGATTATAGAATGATACTCTTATCAAGATATAGAATTGAGTTAAGACTCAATATCTCCTGAATATAAATCTACATCTATTTCTAATGACATATATACAATTAAACATAA